AGAAGTTCTTGAAATTCTCTAATTGTGCAGCATGTCATAGAACGGTTAATCTCACAACGAAATAAATGTGAAGAACATTTCCTCTTCACTCCTTGGCGGCAACAATCCCCAGAAACTTTATAGTATAGTTGGTGGCAACTTCAAAATGGATGCGTATAATTGTTCTACAGAAATCCAATATACATAGACTTTGTATGGGAGGTGCCACGCCTAATTAAAAAATAGCGACTTTTTCATTGGGACGTCTGAAGCAGGTGTCCGAAATTTCAAAAAAATCGGTTCGGCCGTTCTCGAGCTTTGCGAACAAAAAAAAACGGCTTTCAAAATATATATTAGTATAGATTGCTATAAATCATGGTACAAAAATTACAGGTATTGTCTTCCCAGAGAGTTTTGCTTCACATCGAAATTCGAGCTCCCTTATTTTCATTTTGACGCAGTTCAATGTTGATTCTTTTACTTTAATTTTTATAATTTTTCAAAACAAAAAAAAAACGTTTGAAATGTAGTGAGCCGTACAAGTTTTGAATTTATTTACAAGCAAATGTTTTTTTTACCGGCTTTTGCAAATTAAATAAGTTCTCTGAAAGATGGTTTGTTTAAAAAATACGTGTACATATATGGTATATGGGGTATGGAAATATCCCTTTTCCCTGGCAGTAAACGTTTTAGTGTCGGCAACAATGATATTTTTAAAATAAGGCGGATCGGAATATGCGCTCTCTGGGAAGACGATACCTGTAATTATTGTACAATGGGTATGAATCGAAATGGTTTTGAATATGTTTCACAATATGTATGAGTGTCACACGAAACAGGTTTAAAAAGGTTGCTAACTGTTCAAAAGGTTAAATTCAAACTATCAATAATTTAAATTAATTATTACAACCCTTGTGGCAACCCTTGTGAAACACTTAAATATTATTCAAAACTTTCAAACTAAAGGTTTCTTAACAATATTTCGTTTGACATAATACTCTAGTTCTTCAGATAACTCGCGTATAATTAATTTAAATTTGAATTTTTAAACAGGTGGCAACCCTTTTCAAGATATATTCAAACTACAGCTTCTTTAAGGCTCTTAACATCGATTTTTTAATATCTATAATTTTCAGATAAAGAACCCCTTAATTGAAGTTGAATTTGATTTTTTTTAAAGGTGTCAGCCCTCATCCATGAGTAGATAATTGTTTTATATATCTCCATACCAAGTTCCAGTAATCTACCAAAAATATTTCCTAAGGAATGCAGTATGAATAATTCCGTTTTTCCCCTTGTCTTATCGAGATTATGGGCTGGTTCCTCCAACTCAATTTAACTTAGTTTACCTAATTTTTTTAGACTTAGTCGAGAATAAGCTGTGTAAAAGTTAGGCTAACTTTTGACTTAAGTCCAAAAAATGGCTAAACTAAGTTAAGTTGAGTTGGGGAAGCTAGCCCTAAATGTATCCTATATTTTAAGTTGGGCTAAGTGACAGGTTAAAGCGTGAAAGCGTAGCAAACAAACAAACTCACTTTCAGATTTATAATATTAGAAAGGAAGTAAGGAGTGGAAAATTTCTTTCTTTTATTTTTGTAAATTTTCCTTGTTTTTTATTTAAAATTTCTGATAAACATGTACTTTGCTTGTTCAGTTTACAATATGTATTTAAAATTTCTGTTTTACAATCTTTTACGTTAAGGAACTTATTGTTGCAATTGGTTATATTTTTATCAATAATAAGCTTACCATCTAATTGTTCAATAGCTCTAACTTCGTAATATTTACATGCTAACTTAATTTTTGGATATTTTATATATAGTACAATTATATAATTTTTTTGGGCTTTTTTAAATTTTGAAATATCCATTAGGTCTGTGATGGTCATTGTACCGTGCTGGTAATATGTTATATTTTTTAATTCGTCAAATGGTTCAAAATTCCTACTTTACCAAAAGTTATTGTATTTATCATGTTTTGTAGTTCATGTATAATATATTGATTTCTTTTCCTCAGTGTTGCCAAGTTTTGAATTTGAAAAAGCACTAAAACCCAAAAAAATCGCGTTTTTTCTAGAAAAAAGCACTAAATTTTTTATTGGAGGATTCAATTGACTTTGTATGCATACAAAATTTTATTGTAGGTATGTCGATTCAAATTAATCTATATATTAATACGCTAACATAAATTTTGTCTCCGTTCGTTTGGCGATTCTACCGAACCGATTTCAAAACCAAGAACACCGTAGGAAAGGCTTTTTTCCGTAGATGAGATTTGTTATGGTTTCACAACTGGTTGAAAATTACGGCCAAAACCGTCGTTTAAACATTTTCGAATTGTGTATAGATGTTGCTGCAACATGTTCAATTTGACATGTTTCGCCTGTTGTTTCACTACACATTTGAAATTAAGCTTTAAAACAAAGATAAATATGAAGATGAAGAAATAAATGATAACGATCAAGTCAAAAAGAAAGAAGGCAAAAGTGAAGATAAAGACGAAAATGGAGACAATGGCAGATACATAAGAATTAGGGTAACTGAAAGGGTAAGAACATTTCTTGAATTTATGAAGTGAAACTTCTTTAGCGGCAGTTGGTTGGTTGGGAGTAAATTGTCAAATTCAAG